AGATAACGTTTTCATAAAACTAGAATGAAAAAAGAAATGAAATGAATTTGTTCTCTTTTCTTTGGTAGAAGAATCCATTCAGTCACAGCGACACAGATGCTGGGACAATATACTGTCAAACCAATCTTGAAATTGAATTTTTTTCAATGAAAAATTATACAAAATTTATAAAAATTGTTGAAAATGCATATCATAACAACCTCCAATTGGCGTCGTATAGGAAAATATTTTTGAGAAAAAAAAAAAGAAAATAACATTTTAAAAATATCGACATATCAATGTGCGCTTGGGGCTGATGCATCTACCTGTATTCTTCTACCATGATACTTTTGCATTACAAAGTTGTCAGCCATGCGATAAACAGGGTATTTCATAAATGTCATTAAATCTCTGTATCATCCTGTGAAAATTCACCGGAATAACGGGACTTACCCATTTACCAAGAAACTTCATTTTGCCGGAGTCATTTCGTAATTTCTCCCCCGAAGAGGCAGTACTTTATTTAACTGCTATTCCAAAATGTCCGATATACAAGCCTACAAGAAGTCCATTGAAACTGAAATGGAGAAAACGGACAAGGCATTTGATGATTTTATAAAAATTATTTGCCAGAAAAAAGCCGATGTTTATGTGCATCTTGCTGGCATAAATCTTTCCGAACCGATGCTGGCTACAACTATTCTGCTCAATAAACTCGAATACATGGAAGTCGAATTGAAGGGCAAAATTGATAAAATGCCGTTCGCAGAACAAAATCATCAATCGGAGAAGACAGCAATCAATAATGACAAGAAGGAGAAGAAGAAGGGAAAGAAAGCTAAGAAAAATGACAATGATTCAAATAAATTCGCAGAGGAGGAAAATTCTGAAATAAGCGCCAAGCGGTCAAAAATGATTTTGGAGTTGTACCATTTACACCAGGCAATGTCACAGCAGTGGAGAGAGAAAGTCATCCGTTTGACGGAGAGGGCAGCACAGGTCATTGATCGTTTGAGCCTGCAACAGTGTCTGCAGATACACCATTATTTGAATTTTAATTTGGAAAGATGCCAATAGTGTTCCATTAAAAATGAAGTATTTTTTTTAATTCTTTTTTTTTTCACTTTGAATACCTTGAATTTCATAAAAAAGAATACATAAATTATAAAGAAAAATTTTTTATTTAAATCATTAAATGTCAGGAGAATTAAGCTGCAAGTACATAAGAAGCTTGAAGTCATGGCTAGGCATATTAAAGTCAAATTATAATGGAAAACGCCGGTAGGATTTTAGTGCGGCTCTGTAGTCCCGTTATGAAATGTCACAAAATATGCCTATGTACTTGCATCCTTAGAAAGTTTTTACTACGATAACCACTTTTTCCTTAATGATATCGAAAACAATAGCAAAACTAGTAGATTCTTGCAGGTTCTGGGATGGAGCAAAAGACAACGAATTTCCTCCTTCATTTTCAGTCGGATAGACATTTCATTCCAGGAAATTGTCGGCGGAAATTTTCGTTTAAGTACAGGCACCGATATTGTCAAGATTTTGACACAAGGCCTGACTCTCAAACGTAGATTTTTTAAAAATAGTTTCTAAGGACTCTCAAATAAACGTGGATTTTTAAAAATATTTTCTAAAGACTCTCAAAAAAATTAGGATTCTTTTTGAAAATATTTTCTAAAGACTCTCAAATAAACGTGAATTTTTAAAATTATTTTCTAAAGACTCTCAAATAAACGTGGATTCTGAAAAATATTTTCTAAAGACTCTCAAATAAACGTGAATTTTTAAAAATATTTTCCAAGGACTCCAAAATAAATGTCGACTTTTTAAAAATATTTTCCAAGGACTCTTCAATAAATGTAGACTTTTTAAAAATATTTTCTAAAGACTCTCAAATAAACGTGGATTTTTTCAAATAGTTTCTAAGGACTCTCAAATAAACGTGGATTCTTAAAAATATTTGCTAAAGACTCTCAAATAAACGTGGATTTAATAAAAATATTTGCTAAAGACTCTCAAATAAACGTGGATTTGTAAAAATATTTTCTAAAGACTCTCAAATAAACGTGGATTTTTAAAAATATTTTCTAAGGACTCTTCAATAAATGTAGACTTTTTAAAAATATTTTCTAAAAGACTCTCAAATAAACGTGGATTTTTTAAAAATATTTTCTAAAGACTCTCAAACAAACGTGGATTTTTTTTAAATATTTTCTAAAGACTCTCAAATAAACGTGGATTTGTAAAAATATTTTCTAAATACTCTCAAAAAAATTACGATTCTTTTTGAAAATATTTTCCAAGGACTCCAAAATAAACGTCGACTTTTTAAAAATATTTTCTTAAGACTCTCAAAAAAATTAGGATTCTTTTTGAAAATATTTTCCAAGGACTCCAAAATAAACGTCGACTTTTTAAAAATATTTTCTAAAGACTCTCAAAAAAATTAGGATTCTTTTTGAAAATATTTTCCAAGGACTCCAAAATAAACGCCGACTTTTTAAAAATATTTTCCAATTACTCCAAAATAAAAGTGGATTTTTAAAAATATTTTCTAAAGACTCTCAAATAAACGAGGATTTTTAAAAATATTTTCTAAAGACTCTCAAAAAAATTAGGATTCTTTTTGAAAATATTTTCCAAGGACTCCAAAATAAACGACGACTTTTTGAAAATATTTTCTAAAGACTCTCAAAAAAATTAGGATTCTTTTTGAAAATATTTTCCAAGGACTCCAAAATAAATGTAGACTTTTTAGACTTTAAAATATTTTCCGAGGACTCCTTAATGAACACTGAAAAAATATTTTCTAAGAACTCTCAATTATTTTGGATTTTTTTCAAAATAATTTCAAAGGACTCTCAAATAAATAAGGATTTTTTCAAAATAATTTCTAAGGACCTTCAAATAAAAAAGGATTTTTTAAAAATTCTCAAATAATTGTAGAAGCGAGAACGTTACCTTAGGATAAAGAGCTTAAAATCTCTTAAAATCTTTATGGGTTTAAACCCGAGAACTATTAACCAAACATGGTTTTCCTAAGATTAGAAACGTATAACGGCTTCTACGTGCCAAGGAATGCCAAAAATAAGAGATTATTTTTTTTTTTTTGTAAAATCTGCCACTCGTCATACGTAAATATTTTAGATACGAAAATAAATTTTATTTGAAAAATTACATGCTCTATTGCTTCGCGGTTTTCAATAATTTTTGCAGATTTATATAATATTTCATTTAACATTTTCAATCCTAAAATCTAACAGTTCATTGTCCCAGCATCTGTGTCGATGCGTCTACCTTTATTTTTCTACCATGAATACACTTTGTCACTCTCATGTTGTCAGTCGTGTGAGATACAAGGTGATTCATAAATAGCAATTACTCTGTATCACCCTGTAAAGATATGCCACTTGCACTTGGTACTTCCCCATTTTGAAGCAAGCATAAAATTGAATCATTTCACCAGATTCAGTCCAAGTTCAAGATAAGTTGTGTTTGTTGCGGGAGCTAAACGGAGAAAAATGTCTGGACTTAAAACCGACAAGAAAACCATCAAAACTCAAATGGAGAAAACGGATAAAGAATTCGAGGAATTTTTTAAAACCTTACTCAATCGAAAATCTAAAATATATGTAATTTCTGCCGTTATTCGTTTATCTGAATCAATGGTGGCCGTAAATATTTCCCTGAATCAACTTAGGTACATGGAAATCGAAAAGAAAATCAACATTGACAAAATGCCAAAGGCTGACGTTGAATGTGAAAAGAAGGAGGAATCCAAGAAAACTGGTAAGGGCTCGAAAGTAAAGTCCGAAAATGATGCAGAAACTGCAGCGATGCATTCAAAACGCTCCAAGATGATCTTGGAATTGTACGACATTACAGAACTACGCGAATCCTCTACACTGCAATGGAGGAAAAAAATCCAAGAAATGGCCCAGAAGGTTCGTTGTATCCCCCAATTTACGCTACAAGAAGCATTGAACGTGCAGGGGTTTGTGAAAGTATGTGCTGACGTTTTGCAGCAGTTGGAATAGAATAATGCAGAAAGTGTTTTTTTTTTTTTTGTATCATAAAATGAAATATGTTCTGTTTGCGTTTATAATTGTTTTTTGTGTTTCTGAAATAAATACCAAACTACTTTATCTTTAATTTAATGGAATTTTCTTTAAATGTTGAATAAGAAAATGCGATTTTCTCCCATAAAAATATCACTAAATTCTTTCCTTATTGGGTGGCAGATGGAGGTATTTTTTCAAGATAATCCAATAATAAATGGTTGTCTTAAGCTACTGTTTTCAACATTGAGGCTTTCCTTGCAACAGCCAAAGGGAACTATGCAAAAATCAGACAATCTCGCCACCAAGATCTGTATTCGAAATTTTCGTATAAATGTCTTCTTTGGGAAAATATTGTGAAACCCCAACAATCAGAATTGAATTCTTAGAATTTTCTAGGCGTAGCAAGAAGCTAATTTTGGAGAACAAAGGAAGCCACAACGCGGCGTTGAATATTTAGGCAAAGGGCAATTGTTGTGGAAACGGCGGGGAGGGTAGGAATACTATGACGATTTACAAAACCCTTATTTGACTAGATAAAAGTCAATCTAAGTTTACCTATCTCTTGCTACTGGGCTACTCAATGGTAATATTTAGTTCTATTTGAAAAATATTAGAAATTTTGATAAAAATGAAGATAAGATAGTTCACTTCCAAAAACCCAGTATGTATCTAACACTCCGGGAGTGGACAATTTCCTGAACACATTAAACTCCAATGTCGATTTTGAGATCCCTTAACCGGGCGAAAAAAAGGAACTACATATCCCAATTTTATTCATCTTTATTCTTATAAAAACAAACTAAAATAAAATAGCATCGCTTAGCGCCTTTTGTTTGTTTGCTCTGGTCTTTTCGTGTTATTTATCGCTTTCCTTCATTCTAAATACATTCCATAATCAGTGTATACTGTTTTTGTTATTATTCTGTCTTTATCCATTATTTTGCATTACGCACTGTTTCTTACTTTCACAACGGCGTCATATGTGCTGTGGCTTAACTTTGTATTGGCTTCAAACGGCGGCACAAACAGAATTGCAAGGCGCTAGACTCTTATAATAACCTTATTGACAAGAATAATTAATCGTCTACTCATTGAATAAAATAAATTAGGTAAAAAAGAATGGAAATATTAGGAAAGAAAACTATTAAGAAGAAGTTAAAATATCCTTTACCGGCATGAGTTGCTTTTAGTGATTAAGTACATACATAATGAAACATCAAGCTGCCTGACCGCACATGCGAAAACATGCAATTCTTTCATAAGCCAACTTTTGCAAAATTCTTGGCTGGATGCCGCATTAGCTAAAATTATGAATAATTAAAATCAAACTGAAACTCATGATTCTATTTTTATTCTAGTCTTTTTCCCGTGTTGTGACTTGCAAAATCTCTCCCCCCCACTTATGAGAGCCTGCCTCAAACCTTGTTGTGAGCAATAAAAAGAAGGAAAAAAGTGTACCTGGATTTATAGAAGATAACACAAGATCACACACACACACACAACAATCAACTACAAGCAATACTAGCCAACCAACCCACAACCCTTTATAGTTTCCCTATTCAAAACGAAAGAAAAATGTCTATTGCACCCGTTATTATAGAGGCTACAGCCAAACATACTGCTACGGTGAGTTTAGCCAGCAATATTGAATTTTCCCATAACAAGGTTAACGTGTCATTTTTTCTATTCTCCCCCCTCCCCCACTTTCTTGTCTCATCGCATTCACATTCTAATTACAGTTGATATTTATGCATGGTCTTGGCGATACTGGGTATGTAGAGTGTTAATAATAGTTTTCATGTTGTTTTTGGTGTACTTTGACATTTATATAAACTAATCTAATCAATTTGTTATTTGTAAGTCATTATGGACGTGTCCATACTACTTTATGGGCCTTTGTTGAGTTGCATATCAATGATGATGACCCTAGCTTCTTTGTAGGTGTGACATGACATTGATATCCCTAGGAGTTCTTATTTAACACAACAACTATTTACGGTCAGTAGAAGCACGCATGGCTAAAAGTGAGGTCTAAATTTGTTGCAACAGGAGACTATGGGCTTTTGTTGAGAAGCAATCCTTGTAGGTTCGACATGACACTGATATCCTTAAGAGTTGATATTTAACACAACAAGTACGTACACTCGGTTGAAGCACGCATGGCTAAAAGTTAGGTCTATATTTGGTGGCTTGAAAAAAAAGTTCTTCAATTTTAAAGTACAGGGTGAGATAAAAAAAAAACTGCAACAAAGTCAAATGCCATAATTTTTAATTTTTTTTTTAATTTTATTGAATTGAAAGCAAAAAATGTCGGATATAGCATTAAATTTGAGAGTAAGTTTAGATTTGTTCGAGTTGATCACCCTTGGCACAAATTATGGCCTTCAAACGGCCAAGGAAACCGTCACACGCTGCCCAAATGTTGCTTTGCGGTATTTTGGACCATTCCCGGCGAAGTGCTTGCTTGAGGTGATCGACACTTTGGTATTTTTTAGTGCCAACCTTGCTTTCCAAAATACTCTAGACACAATAGTCCAACGGAGATTGGTATCCGTAGATTTTTTGGTGGCCATTGTGTGCTGGAAATGAAGCGAGGAACCTCATATTGTAAACATTCTTGGGTGGCGCGTGCCGAGTCCGATGCGATACTGGGTCCTGTGGGAATGTCCAAGGTCTACGGCGAAAATGTTTGCGTGCCCAAGGCTTTAATACACCCTGCAGAAGATTTTCGCGATAATATTCGGCATTTATTCTAATGCCACGGTCAATTAATACGAGCAGAGAACGACAATCGGCTGTTATGGCCGATCCATCACCATCATCATGGCCGATGATGCTTGAGTTCCAGTTGGCTAACCGAAGGTGCACATTTTCAGCCGACCTCTTGGGCAAGTAAACATGATCATTTTGTTTGTTTACAACCTGCTGGACAATGAATGTTTTCTCATCGAAGACCACCAAATCAAATTCGGCAGTTCACCACATTCGGCCAAGCGAAGCAAATCACACTTTTGAGTCTATTTTTTTTTCTGTTGCGGTGTAAGTTCTTACACTTTTTGGAATTTCAATGGCTTTACCCCGAGCACATTTTTCAATATTTACCGAATAGAATATTGCGATATGTTCAGCTTACGAGCTATTTTTCGGCCACTGCGACTCGGGTTTCGATCAGGTCGCTTCTTTACTTTTCGAACCATTTCTGCAGATGTTGCTATTTCCCTTCGTCCACTGCCTTGATGCTACGCTACCAATATCACATTCAAATGCTGGAGTGCTCTAACGATAGCCAATTGTGGTTTTCCAGCCAAATATAAAGAAATCGCACTATCACGCTTGAATTCCATCACGAATAACTTTTTTTCTGGGAAATTCTCAACAAAACGACTTTGTACGCTTGTAAGCAATATAATGAGCTGTCACTAGAATAATTTTAACAGCTGAGTGGCTTAGACATATGAGAGCAGTCTGAAGTTGATTGCAGTTTTTTCATCTCAACCTGTAGAGTGATTAAGTAAAGGCTTCTGAGAGACCTCCTCCACTAAGAAGTCAGTCATATACAAAAGGTGGGTTAGAGGTTCCATTAACGAAGAAGTATGTTCCATGAACGAAGAAGATCTAATCTAAATTTAAAAAAAGTTTTCATTAAGTTAATATAGATCTACTTTTGTCAATAAAAAAACCCTATGAGATGCTCCCTGTGCAAATAGAGAAATTCTAGAAATTTCCTAAACATAGAAAAGAGATAAAGAGATCACCTGGAAATAGAGGACCTTTTTGTGCGAAATAGAAGACCACAATGAGCACTTCCTCTATTCCAGAAAGTCTATTGACAGAATAAATCTAAAAAGTCTTTAAAAAGCCTCCACTTCAGATCACCTCTAAATCTCACCAACTCAGATCACCTTTAAATAGAGGACCTTATATTGCGACGTAGAAGACCACAATAAGCACTACTTCTATTTCGAAAAGTCTATTGGCAGAAGAACTCTAAAAAATCTTAAACAAACTTTCAAAAGCATCCACTTCATAAAAAAGCCTGGAGGAATTCTCCAGTACACAATGGACATGTGAGATATTTCCTATATAGAGGTTAGAGGTTATGCTCGATTTTATATGTTTTGTATTTGCCTTTTTCTCTTGACGGTTTCTTCACTCCAAGAACTCTAAAAAGTCTTTTAAACCCCTTTAATAAGCCTCCACTTCATATAAAAGCCTGGAGAAGTACACAATGGAGATGTACGATATTTTCTATTGATATAGGTTATGCTACAGTAGCTGACTTTTTCTCTTGACAGCCACTTCATTGGAAGAACTCTAAAAAGCCTTCAATAAGCCTCCACTTCATAAAAAAAGCCTGGAGGAATTCTCCAGTACACAATGGACATGTAAGATATTTCCTATTGATAGAGGTTATGCTAGTTTTTATATTGACAGTTGATAGCCACTTCACTTTGTCTAAGATGAGCACCTGAAAAATAAGTATAGAAGGAAATAGAAGAACATAAGGTTGTAGATATAAATACCCTAAATTAAATCTTCCCAACAGTTTCTCTGATCAGACAAAGCCAAAGAGTACTTGACACAATCCCACCATACTATTCTTCTGTTTTATATATAAATTTTATATATAATTTATATATATTTTTTAAAATTTATTTTCCAGACATGGTTGGAGCAGTGCTTTGGCTGCCATACGTCCGGCCTGCATGAAAGTTGTTTGCCCCACGGCACCAACACAGCCCGTCTCACTGAATGCCGGTTTTCGTATGCCATCATGGTTTGATTTGAAAACTTTGGATATTTCCGGGCCCGAAGATGAGGAGGGCATTAAGCAGGCTTCACAGAATATTCATAGCATGATAAATACCGAAATTGAAAAGGGTGTACCCGCTGAACGTATTGTCTTGGGTGGTTTCTCACAAGGTGGAGCTTTGGCCCTGTATTCAGCCTTGACCTATAACAAGCCGCTGGCCGGTGTTGTGGCCCTGTCGTGTTGGCTGCCATTGCATAAACAATTTCCTGGTTTAAAAACAAATTCCGATGAAATACCTGTAAGAAAAATTAACTTGATTTGTTTTGTAGACACACTCATAGACCCGTCTCTTGTCTTTGCAGATATTCCAATGCCATGGTGACTTTGATCCTGTTGTTCCCTATAAATTTGGCCAATTGAGTGCTAGCTATTTGAAAAACTTTATGAAAAATGTCACATTCAAAACCTATAATGGCTTATCACACTCATCTTCCGAAGAGGAAATGGACGATATGAAGGTAAATCTTTGAGGTAGTGGACAAAAAGAATATGTGAAGCTAAATTTGTTTGGTTCGGTTTTTTCTCGTTTCAGGACATTCTTGCTAAATGGGTAAATTAATGAAATAATTTAGTTTTTTTGTAGTTTTTGGGTTTTGTTTTCTGCCACTATCTCAAAAGTACATTCTTTTGAAAACCAAAACTAAAGGCCAGAGAATATGCAAAAGAAGAAAAAATTACATTTATTTTCTCCTCACCTTGAAGTGAATTCTAGAAACTAAAAAACAACCACAACAACATTGGCAATAAATAAAGCAAGCAAATATAAATAATAGAAGAAATTAAAAAAAAATACCTTTAAATTAAAAAAAAAAATACCAGAAATTCCACAACTATAAAACAATTATAATTTATAGTATTATCATAGTTATAAAGGCAATTTTAGGTTTATTATTTCATTCTGCAATACTCCCCAACAAAGAGAATAGCAGCGACATAGCCAGAAAAAAAAAAAAAAAACATTTCGAAAACATTCTTTTTTTTTTTGTAGAAAATACAAAAAAAGTTTAACAAATGCCAGGCCATGTGGCTCAATTTTTCTGACTACGCAGCTGCTAATATCCGTCCTGCTTTTTTTCATCCAAAGTTCCTGTACAACTTTCCTTGAAATATACATTCTTCTTGATTTCTTTTTTAAATACCTTTATTTGTGCCTACCCTCCTCTTTTCTTTTTCTTTTCTTCTTATTTTTTTCCACTTTTTCTGAGCTCTGTTCCCCTGAAAGCAAACTTTACACAAATTAGTTTGTATCTAAAAAACTAAAAAACAAAAAAAAAAAAAAAAACAACAAGCAACACAGTATTGTTCCCAAAATACACAATACTCAAGCTCTCACTCTTTATTGAATGCAAATTGTAAAACATTATTTATTGAAAAAGAAAACAAAAAAACTCAACAAATATATAAATAAGAAAATGAAAAAAAAAAAAAAAAAAAAAAAAACAATGGCTAACTATTCGAAAAAATTATATTCAGAAAAAAAATACAAATATTACCGCAACAACAACAACAAAATAGTTCAATAAAAATAACATAAATGAAACAAAAACCAAGTAGTATTACAAATTTTGAAAAAAAAAGTTTTTATTTAAAAATTGGCTACCAAAAAAAAAAAAAGAAAAAAAATGAAAAGTTCACAGAATATTTATCTACTAGGGAGCCAATTGGATGACATGTTAAGAAGAAGTTTCGGTATTTAATAGGTGTGTTGTATCGCTTTGCTAGTTAGGATACCAATTGGTTTTTAATGGATTTTTTTGTTTTTGAAAATAAGATCAACGAATTTTTTCTAAATGGTCTTCGGTCAAAGCCTTCACATAAAGAAGACATACGGGTATTTTATAAAGAGAGGACATTAAGGGATCACCATGAGACCTCCTTCTCTTCATAAAAGTCTATAGATAGAAAAAGTCTTAACGGTCTTTATGAAAACTTTTAAGAAGCCTCATCGAAATGCCAAAAAAAAGGAAAAACCTGGAAGGAATTCTTTGAAAAAATATATTAAAAACATTCACGTTTAATTGTTCCGATGGTTGAAGGTCTTTGAAAAAAAAGCATTTTTTTAAAAATCTATGTTTTATTGATCTTTGAAAAAATATTTTTCAAAAATCCACGTTTTATTGGTCCGATGTTCAAAGGTCTCTTAAAAAAATATTTTTCAAAAATCCACGTTTTATTGCTCTGATATTTTTAAATATCCACGTTTATTTGTTCAATGTCTTAATAAAGGCCCTTGAAACATCTTTTTAAATTTTTTTCAAATAAAAAAAAGGTAGATTTTTAACATACTATTCAAAATACTTTTTTTTTATATAAATTTATTCAAGGCCCAATTAAATTGATTGATTTCTTAGAAATAGTATTTCAAGGTGTGGCAATAAATGTGAATTTTTTAAAAATATGTTTTCTAGGGATTGAAATTATATCTGATTTTTTTTATATTTTTTCCAAGTACCTATGTTTTTTTTACCATTTGTAGGGTATCACTTTTGCACCTAGAGAATAGAATCTCAAAATAAGTGTTAATTTAATAAAACAATTAATTTAATATACATTCCCTATGTATAGAGGTTATATTAGATTTTGGAGCTCTTAAAGGTCTTTACAAAAACCTTCAAACCTCATCAAAATCCAACAAAAAAAAAATAAATAAATAAAAACCCTGGAAGGAATTCTCCACCAAACAAACGTATAGAGGTTATATTAGGTTTTGGACCTCTTAAAGGCCTTTATAAAAACCCTCAAGCCTCATCGAAATGCAAAAAAAAAAAAAAAACCTGGAAGGAATTCTCCACCAAACAAACGTCATCTAAGACATTTGCTATGTAGGGAGATTATGTAATGTTTTGGATGCGTATTGGACATTTTCTGGCACTTCACTTGGAGACCGATGGTCCCATTGGGCTCACCCTGAAAAATTAGGACAGGGTGGAAGGACAGAAAAGAAGGTCGTAGAGATAAATTCTCTGAAAGATATGGTATTTCTCAAATGGTGCCTTGAATGTACTTAATCGCCACTTCTGTGACAGTCAGAATCTCTTTCTGAAAAAAGCTTCAATTGCTTTTTTGTTATACATGAATTTACGATAAAAAAAGATTTTTGATTCCCTCCTTAGCCTGTCCCATTTTAATATCTGAGTCGATTTAGCCATGTCCGTCCTTCAGTTCATTGGTCCGGAGTCCAAACGGCATGTCATAGAGAGCTAATAATTTGCGCAGAGTCGTCTTTTGCCTGCAGGCATTGATTCTCTCCTTAGCCTGTTCCATTTCAGTATCTGAATCGATTTAGCCATGTCCGTTCTTCAGTCTGTGGGTCCGTCCACAGTCCAAACGGCATGTCATAGAGAGCTAATAATTTGCCCAGAGTTGTCTTATGTCTGCAGGCAGTTCAAGTTCAAAAATTAGCTAGATCGTTCCACGTTTTAGAATAGCCCTCCATATAATTGTACCTCTCGATATTCGATATTTTGATGATTTCAGCCTTAGTTTTTAGTGGAATAGCTTCAAATTTGGTATTTGGAGTTCGTATTGAGTTCTACCCAATGTGGCAGAACTTTGTCTATTTAGGTGGAAGTCTTTCTATAGCCACCATATAATTGTCCTCCCGATATTCGATATTTTGATAATTTCAGAATCAGTTTCTAGCGGAATAGCTTAAAATCGGTATTTGGAGTTCGTAATGAGTTCTACCTAATGTGGCGGAACGTTGTCTATATAGGTGCACGTTTTCCTATAGTTCTCCTATAATTTTACCTTCCGATACTAAGTTTTTGTCGATTTTAGCTACAGTTTCTGGCGGAATAGCTTGAAATTCAGTAATTGAAGTTAGTAATGGGTTCTACCTAATGTGGCAGAACATTGTCTATTTAGCTCCACGTTTTTCTATGGCCCCCATATAATTGTACCTCCCGATATTCGGTATTTTGATGATTTTAGCCTCAGTTTTTAGCGGAATAGCATAAAATTCGGTATTTGGCGTACGTAATGAGTTCTATTTACGGAACGTTGTCTATATAGGTCCATGTTTTCCGATACCCCCATATAATTGTACCTCCCCATATTTGGAATTTTACGATTTTAGCCTCAGTTTCTAACGTAATGGCACACAATTCGGTAGTCACAGTTCAAAATGGGTTGTACCAACTGTAGCAGAACATTTTCCGTATAGGTTCATGTTATCCAAAAAAAAACATGGTTTATCCTTGAGCATACTTCAAAAATATAAAAAAACTTGGTATGGTCCTTATAAAAAATTTTAAAAATATTTAAAATGTTCAAGTTTTTTTTATTAATTTATTTTTTTAATAAAAAACTATTTTCTCATTTTAAAGCTATTCATTCTCATAAAGCTGCTTTCATGATTTCTTTAATTTAATTATTTTTTTATAATTTTAAATTATATTTTTATGTTTTAGGTTTCAAGCGCCTCTCACCTTTGAGTAGAGATCTTCATTTTTTGGCCGCTTATTGATTTATGTAAAAAATTTAAAATTCTCAATTTTAATTTTATAAATATTTTCACAAAAAATAAAAGTAGAAGGGTACAATTAAAAAAAAAAATGAATAAAAAGTAAAAAATTTCGTGCAAACAAACTTGGTATTTTGATGAACTCTCATTTAAACTCTCATTTATGATAAATTCTCATTTTTTCGTACCCACTGCTTGAAGTTCTCACTTAAACGACTCTTAAATCATTAAAGATCACATAATACGTTAATTTTATTTCTTCCCAGGGGCCATTTTATGCTTTATTTTTTTACTCTCAATATTGTGTATTATTTTCTATCCATTCGATTTTTTTCTATTTCTATCTTTCTTACAGACCAATGACTATAGTAATATCAAGCCACGTAGTTCCACGGCCTCAAATGTGGAACAATGTTGTCATATTTTATAACTAGAATGTAGTTTAAAAACATTAGTTAAAAACAAACAAAAACTCATCTCATTAAATGAAACTGAAACTGAAACCGGAACTGATACATGCCTCATTGCTGTTCGAGCGGCGCTCTATTTCTAACTATCTCATGTACTCTCTCCATTTTAACTCTATCTCTCTCACTCTCTCTTTGTAACATTTTATAGAAAAATTTTGTTATTTATATTGTTAATTTTCATTGGAAATGGAATAATTTTTAATTTATCATTGTTGTTTTTGTTTTTCTTTTCTAATTGAAAATATTTTCATTTTGTAGTTTTTATTATATTTTATAAAAAAAAACAGTTAAATATACAGATATATTATCTGCTGAAACCACAAGAAACATTTCAAAGTAATTTCATAGAATTCATAATAAAATAAACAGGTAAGGTAGTAATATTCTCTCACTTTCATCATTTACTCTATTCTCCATTCACAACGAAATGAGTGTGCTTGGCATTTTGCAAAAATTACGGTTTGTTTTGCAGAGCAAGGCTTGATTGAGCCATGTATCATCAAAAAAGATCAATAATAACAACAACAATTTGGCAAAACGGTCATCACAGAGTTGCCGTTTAGTAACGATAAGACGTTATGTTGCCATATGGCAGCTTTCCTTCTATGATTCGTTGGCGTTTGGCTTTTTCATACTACTCACCACTAGATGGCAATGCCATATCAATAACAGGGTACTTCACATACAGTTCGTTATTTTTCAATTAGCAAACGAGCATTATATTTAAAGGGAATTTTCAATAAAATATCGAATGAACATTGTAACAAGTAACGAAAGTCTTATAGTCAGACGGGGGGCGACTTTATGATACCCTACACCCCTTTGCATATTTCCTAGAACTTCACATTACAAATAAAAATTTTTATGGGGAATTTGTGAGAATTAAATCATATCAGCTATGATTATAGTTATCATTTAAAGTCCAAACGAACTAATATATGGAGGAATATCCTTCTTTGAATCGATTTTTACAAAATTTGGCGAGGCACTTGTGCCTTTTAAATTCGGACATTACATTACTCATTTGGTGCACTATTAAGTTGAAATCGGATAAAGATATATATGGGAGCCATATTGAAACCTGAACCGATCCCGATAAAATTTGGCAAAGATATTACTGAGCTGTATTTGATATATTTCCCCAAATATCATTGTTACAGAGGGCATATTACGGCTGCGGAGGACAAAAATAACAAATCGGATAAACAATATATATGGTAGCTATAGCTATATCTGAACCGATTTTCACCAAATTTTATATACTTGCTTCTAGGTTCAATTTGGTCGTAAGAGCCAAATTTCATCCCATTTGGGCTAATATTACGGCTTTGGTGCACAATAAAAGGCAAATCGGACGAATATATATATGGGAGCTATATCTAAATTTTGAGCAATTATCACTAATTTCAATAGGGCTTTTCCTTGGGTCAAGTAAAAGACTTGTGCAAAATTTCATCGGGATCGGACAATAAATGGGACCTGTACTTTGTTTTGCAAAAATACATGGGCAGACAGACGGAGGGACGGACTGACATGCATAAATCGACTCAGAATATGATTCTATGCAGATCATCAAAAGGAACTATGGATCTATCTCGTTTCCTTTTGCCTGTCACAAACAAATTCCCAAAGCCATAATACCCTGACCCGCTTCTGGTGTAGGGGGTATAAAAATAGTAACCTAAATAGAGGGCGAATAGCTCCCCCTTCTCTGACATGTTTTGAAATTTTCGAACTAAGATTCCTTGGAATCCTTTAATTTTAGCTACATATGAACCTGCAAGAATCTATTAGTTTTATAATTTTTTCCGATCTCATAAGTAAAAATCTTAGTAAAAATGTTTACATTCTCACAGTTCTGGAATAGGGCAACATGACTTCTTCGTAGAGGAACAAAGGAGTTTTAGGTTGACGTAGTTCGATTTTGGCCCTAGGCTCCTTTGTTAATTACGGAAGAAGTCAGCCGATGACTTAAGCCAGCCAAATAAGCGCTTTATGTATTTCCATCTTAAGTTCGGCCGGGCCGACCTCTTAATACCCTCCACCATTTGGAACGAATTTGGCAATTTTCAAAAAAATCCATTAAAAATTCTTTTAGAATCTTAAAAATACCGAATGTAGCCGTTATATAAGGGTCCATACGACGACATGGACCTGCATAGGCAACTTTTGTCATAGGTCATTACAATATTCAAATGCGAAACTTGAAAAAAATGCGTTGAATAATATCGCTAAAATCAACAAAATGCCGAATATAGGGATGTATCAAAACGTGGACCTGCCCGGACAATTTTCTGTCATAGGCTGTAGTATCCATTACGAACTACAAATACCAAATTTGAAACAATTCCGGTGAATATTGTCGCTAAAATCATGAAAAAACCGAATATCGGAAGGTATTTTTATATGGGGTCTATATGAAGACGTGGATATGCCCGGACAATTTTCTGTCATAGGTTGTAGTATCCTTTACGAACTTCAAATACTAAATTTGAAACAATTCCGGTTAATAATGTCGCTAAAATCATCAAAATACCGAATATCGGGAGGTATTTTTATATGGGGGCTATATGAAGACGTGAACATGCCCGGACATTTTTCTGTCATAGGTTGTAGTATCCAATGCGAACTTCAAATACCAAATTTGAAACAATTCCGGTTAATAATGTCGCTAAAATCGTCAAAATAACGAATATCGGGAGGACACATTTTTTTTGTCATAGGCTGTAGTACCCATTTCGAACTTTAAACATGAAATTTTAAATAATTCCGTTAAATAATGTCGCTAAAATCATGAAAATACCGAATATCGGAAGTCAATGGTATATGGGAGCTATACGAAAACGTGGACCGATATGGCCAATTTACAAACTCAACCTGCCTACTGGTAAACTATGCATGTATGTATGTATATTAGCCTTCTATCTCAATTCGTTCCAAAGATAGCGTGATTACAACAGACAGACGGACGGACATCGGTATAACGTCTTAGAATTTTACCACGATCCAGAATATATATACTTTTTTTGAGTCTATTATGAATATTTCGCAAAGCTAATATATCCTCCATAGAATGGTGTAGGGTATAAAAACATATTTTTGTAGCACTTTTAAGCACACATACACACATACAAATAAAGAGTTCCATAGGAAATCTTAATATTCAGTCTGTGGCAAATAGAGTTAATGTTTACATATGTTTTCCTCATTTCCCAAGCATTGGCAACCCTAGCCTCTGTTGGTGGCTTGTGTGTTTGGTTTTTTTTTTTTTTTGCATAGATTGTTTGGTTTGTTGCTTTTCCCTCTTCATCTGATTTGGCAGTTGGCAGTTGAACCGAACGCACGTGAATTTGCGAATTGTCGCACAGTAACGGTATAAACGAAAAAAAAGCAACAACACACTCGTGGTGAGAACGTAAACAAACTGTAGAAGAGATTTTTATGCGTGTCGTTGTGGTTCTAAGAATAAGAATAACGGAAAGTGATTGTTTGAAAAAGAAAAATCAACAAAACTAAAGACTCAAAGAATGAAAAAAATATATCAAAACAGAACAAAACAAAACTAAACAAAAATTCAATAATCTAAAGAAACAAGAAACATCAAAAACATACCTTTGTTTTGCTAATTAATTTGCGCTCGATACCAGAAAAGAAAAACCCAAGAAAAAACAAAAGAAAAGACAACAAAAGGAAAATATCACAACATGAAAGCAAGTAGTAACTCTCCTTAAGCTGTTGACGTTATGTCAATGAAGTGTTGTAAGTCGTCTACCTTATAAGGAAAGAAAGAGTAGAAAAAAAAGGGGATTGCATTTCATTGGGCCTTTCCCAAAAACAAAAAAAAAAACAACAAGTGTTTACAATTGGAGTTGTGTGTTGGTGGTGTTGTTGTCCCGGGGTTTCTCCAAGAAAAAAAATGTAAGTTTTATTGCTTGGCCTTTATGGACATATCTAAATATTCCTGTTTGTCTCCAAACAGGTACTTAATAGGTTAAAGCTTAGAAACGGGTCCTAACCGAGTCAGCTTTATATGTTAGTGGTACTATGTAAGTAATTTGCAGAGGCGGGAAAATCTCTTGCATAGGAGTGAGTGTTCATCGTGTGTTTATGTGTCAATCAAAATTTTGGTTTCCATAGAAAAAGGAAAGTGTTTGGGTGTAAACAAGTGAGGGCTGAAAAGTTGAGGCCTTTTGAAAAGCGACATTTTCGACATGATTTGACAAAATTAAGCCAACAACATTGGGGTAGGTTTCGGCCGCGTTTTCAAACTAATTACGAATTAGCTGAGCTATAAATGCAAATTTAAGATGCTTTCCAAGGCGCAAACTTAAAATATTTTTTTTTCGATTAATAAAAAAAAAACTTTGGAAAAAAAATAAAGGGAACAAAAGGACCTCTTTGGTGATTCGCTTGGGTTTTAAATTTGTGACCAAAATAATCCTCGCATTTTTATACCCTCCACCATAGTATGGAGGTTATACTAAGTTTGTCATTTCGTTTCTAACACATTGAAAAATATATTTTAGACCCCACAAAGTATATATATTCTTCATCAGCATAAAATTCGATGTCCGTCCGTCTGTCCGTCTATGGAAATCACTCTAGCTTCCGAACGAAATGAAGCAGGTTAATAAAATTTTACTCAAATGTATATTATGTCTTCAGGACTTTTGGTATTGAAAATGGGTCATGTAGGGCCACGCTTTGTTATAGCCCCCAAAGATTGGTACCTCCCGATATTCGGTATTTTGATGATTTTAGCGATATTATTCACCGGAATTGTTTCAAATTTGGTAATTGAAGTTCGTAATGGATAGCTTGAGACAGAAAATTGTCCGAGCAGGTCCACGTCTTCGCATATCCCCCATACTGTTACCTGCCTATATTCAGTACTTTGATGATTTTAGCGACATTATTCACCGGAAATGTTTCAAATTTGGTATTTAAAGTTCATAATGGCCACTACAGCCTATGGCAGAAAATTGTCTATGCAGGTCCACGTCTTCGTATAGGCCCCATATAAGGATACCTCTCAATATTCGGCATTTTGATGATTTTAGCGATATTATTTACCGGAATTGTTTCAAATTTGCTTTTTGAAGTTCAGAATGGATACTACAGCCTATGACAGAAAATTTTCCGGGCAGGTCCACGTCTTCCTATAGCCTCCATATAATGGTAACTCCCGATAATCGGTATTTTGATGATTTTGGCGATATTATTCACCGGAATTGTTTCAAATTTGGAATTTGAAGTTCTTCGTATAGCCCCCATACAATGTTACCTCCCTATATTCGGTATTTTGGTGATTTAAGCGACATTATTCACCGGAATTGTGTCAAACTTGGTATTTGAAGTTCGTAATGGAGATGACAGCCTATGACAGAAAATTGTCCGGGCAGGTCCACGTTTTCGTATAGCCCCCATATAATGTTACCTCCCGATATTCGGTGTTTTGATGATTTTAGCGATATTATTCACCGGAATTATTTCAAATTTGTTATTTAAAGTTCTTTACTAATACTACAGCCTTCGACAGAAAATTATCTGTGCAGGTCCACGTTTTTTTACATCCCTATATTCGGCATTTTGATAATTTTAGCGACATTATTAAAGGCAATTTTTTAAGTTTCGCATTTAAATATTGCCATATGACAAAAGTTGCATATGCAGGTCCACGTCGTCGTATAGACCCTAATATAACTGCAATATTTGGCTTTTTTTAAATATATTTTTTAATAATTTTTAACGGATTTTATTTATTAATTTTTTTTGTTGAAAATCGTCGAATTCCTTGCAAATGGCGGAGGGTATTAAGAGCTCAGCCCGGCCGAACTTTAGGTGGAAATACATAAAGCGCTTATTTGGCTGGCTTAAGTCATCGGCTGGCTTCTTCGGAAATTAAGATAGGAGCCTAGGGCCAAAATCGAACTACGTCAACCTAAAACTCCTTTGTTTCTCTACGAAGAAGCCATGTTGCCCTATTCCAGAACTGCGTGAATGTAAACATTTTTACTAAGATAACCGATTTTCTCTTTTTAGGGAATCGGAACAATTTTAAAAGTAGTAGATTCCTACAGGTTCATGTGTAACTAAAAATGAAAGGATTGCTAGGAATCTTAATCCGAAAATTGCAAAACATTTGAAGGAAGGGGGAACTTTTCGCCCTCTACTATTAAGTTAACTATTTTTATACCCTACACCAGAAGCTGGCCAGGGTATTATGTCTTTGTGAATTTATTTGTAACAGGCAAAAAAAGACGAGATAGACGCATAGGTCCTTTTTGATGATCTGCATAGAATCATATTCTGTGTCGATTTATGCATGTCCGTCCGTCTGTCCATGCTTTTTGGTCTCATTTATTGTCCGATCTACATGAAATTTTGTATAAGTCATTTTTTTGACCCAAGGACGAACCCTATTGAATTTGTAGATAATCGCTCAAATTTTAGGTATAGCTCCCATATAAATCTTCGTCCGATTTGCCTTTTATTGTGCACCAAACGTGTAATATTAGTCCAAAGGTGATGGAATTTGGCACTTACTAGCCAATTGATCCTAGAAACAAGTATGCCAAATTTGATCGAAATCGCTTCAGATATAGCTATAGCTCCCATATATATTATTCAGGCGATTTGTTATTTTTGTCCTCCACAGCCATAGTATGCACTCTCTGACAACGATATTTCGGGAAATATATCAAATACAGCTCAGCAATACCTTTGCTAAATTTTATCGAGATCGGTTCAGATTTGGATATAGTTCCGACATATATATCTTCGTCCGATTTACCTTTTATTGGGCACCAAACGTGTAATATTAACCCAAATGGGATGGAATTTGGCACTTCCGACCGAATTGAGCCTAGAAACAAGTATGCCAAATTTGATGGAAATCGCTTCAGACATAGCTATAGCTCCCATGTATATTTTTTTATCCGATTTGTCATTTTCATCCTCCGCAGCCATAATATGCACTCTCTGACAACGATATTTCGGGAAATATATCAAATACAGCTCAGCAATACCTTTGCTAAATTTTATCAAGATCGGTTCAGATTTGGATATAGCTCCCACATATATATCTTCGTCCGATTTGCCTTTTATTGGGCGCCAAACGTGTAATATTAACACAAATGGGATGGAATTTGGCACTTACGACCCAATAGAGCCTAGAAACAAGTATGCCAAATTTGATCGAAATCGCTGCAGATATAGCTATAACTCCCATATATATTATTCAGGCGATTTGTTATTTTTGTCCTCCACAGCCGTAATATGCACTCTCTAACAACGATATTTGGGGAAATATATCAAATACAGCTCAGCAATACCTTTGCCAATTTTTATCGAGATCGGTTCAGGTTTGATATATGCCTTTATCCGATTTCAAGTTAATTGTGCACCAAATATATTAACATATAAGCCCGAATTGAAAAGGCACAAATGTCTTGGTTCCGAGGAGGATATTCCTCTCATATATTAGTTCCTTTGGACTTTAAATTATAATTACAATCATAGTTGGTGTGGTTTAATTCTCACAAATTGCCCATAAAAACTTTTATTTGTTAAGTGAAGCTCAACTATATTTCCAAAGGAGTGTAGGGTATCATAAAGTTGGCTCTTAGACTTTCCTTACTGGTTACCTCTACTTTAAGAATCTCTTGGATTTTTCCCGTAATTTTCAAAAAAAAAGTTGGATGAATTATTGGATGTGAACTCCCCTTATGTTGATCACCTGTTAAACACTGTATAACAAATCTATTTGGATCTTAACTGTCAATTCCATTGCGCATACGTCAAATAAGAACCACTGGATTTAAGAAGCCTCTATGGCATTCTTCAACTCTAGGTGCAGCTGCTGCGATCCCGTTTAATGGCAGTTTTTAATCACATTTGAAAAAAATGACCAAAGAGACCGTTTTTATGATTCACTTTGGGGGGGTTAAAAATAATCCTCGTATTGTTATCTGTGCTATTGCCGAACACACTTTATGCCTAAAATGTTGTGACGATTTCAAGGATTCTTAATCCGAAAATTAAAAAAAAAATCTGGAAGAGGAGGCAACTTTTCTCTCTTTATTTCCTTAATTTTTCGAACTAATCTTTTAACCCGCCGATGCGTGTTCTATTTTCAGTTCTACGCTCATAATTTACTGAATTTTTCCTGTAATAATTGAAAATAAAGAAATATGTCGCACAGAAAAATATTGAATGTGAACTACCCTAATGCCGTGAACGCCTTATAGCACATTTACATACATTACATCCAGTGCATGGCAGACGAATACAGGTAGATGCATCGGCACTTGTGAACATTGATATGTCAAAAATTTTAAAAAGTTTCAAATGCTAGAATTTTTGCCCAGAACAAATTGGAAAATAATTTCTGAATTGAGACATCGGCTATGAATATAGGAGAAATCTAAATCTTCTAGCGAGCATTGCAACTGCGCACCAGGGGGTTAAAATTAAATAAAAAACATTCGACATCAAAAAAAAAATTTTTCTTGTCTCCCAATTCAAGGCTGAAATCTTATCGCCATATATTGCGTTTTCGAGAGGGTGAGCACTTGGGGAAGCATAGATGTTGATATTTCTATCAACATGAAAATAATATGCCAATTTTTTTTAATTGCGAATTTGCAATTGTTTTTTTTTTCTTTGCAATATGCTTATCACACTCTATCACAAACTTGTATACAAACACATATTGTTTTTAATAAATGCATCAATATTAGAAAAAATACTATTGTGGAATTTTGAAAACTAAGAGTTTCGAAAAAAAACAATGAATTTCTAATCCCATTCGTCATGTATTTCGCAAAACAATGAAAACAATGTCTCAAATTCTTTACGTGATCCAGAGTGGGACTTTGAAACAATGTCGTCGTGTTACAGTTCTAAAATGATTAATT